TCACAGTCTCTTCTGTTTCAAGACTGAGTGCCCTTGATCTGGAAGCTTGATTTATGATTCAAGTGGAAATCATTYGATAGCATGTTAATGGACAGAAAGCAAAAGCATAATTGTGGGGTCAGAAGAGAAGGAATTACTTGCAGGGATTCTTTAAKGTGTGTAGTAACACCTACTGATAGTGAATTTTACTTACCTGTCTTATGCTTTAAGATCATTTCAGCCAATGCTGCTATGTATACAGTTTGTTTGTTTGGGGGCATTTTTTGATTGGTTGGGTTTTTTGTTTGGTTGGATTTCTTTGTTTTGTTTTGGGTTTTTTTTCCTTCTGTTGCTTCTATATAAAGTGAATATTTCCTACTCTAAAACCAGCAGAAAAATCTCTTGGCCACAGTGCTACCGCTATAGCCTGCCAGCTCTCAGAGAAAACACATTCTTTGTAGTGTTGTTCTCCATAGCATTGAGGGTTACCTTTTCTCCATGCAAAACACATTGGTGTCACCTAAGCAAGAACAGCACTGTTGAGAATTGGGGGGAAAAGCTCCGTAAGTCTAGAGACAGAGAAGGTGATAAAGAAAGGGAGAGTATTCTCCTTGGGACCAAGACAGATTTTGGCATGGAAATACCCCACCCTGGATTAGGCAGACCAGTCTTTTATCTGCTCCAGTGTTTTCCCTGGGTTCTTGCATGAATGCTGATACAAATTGTATCATGGTCCAACTAATGTGTAGAGCCTCAAACGATCAAATGCATTTACTTCAAGTGTGTGTATTTTCRGTGTACATGAATTTGTATTACACTGCTCCAGGTGCAGACACAGGTTATWGCTTTACATGCCAGTTATAAGAATGTGCAGGCAGTCAAAAAGAGCAGGAATAATGAGATAGAGACAAGTAAAACAAATCCATTAGAGTGATATGTTCATATCACTTAGTCCAAAGCCCTTAATGAATACAGCCTGTTTCTTCATGCTCATGTGAGCGACAAATTAGCATTAGAATAGAAAACGGTAATACAGGAAGTATTCATAGGCACAGCTACCAGYTCTCTTATGTTTTCAACCTGTCTCACAGGCTAGATTGGCCCTATYTGCATTTGGGAAGAAGAATGCTCACTCCCTGATGTAATATGTCTGCAGTTCTGCTTCTATAGAGCTGGAGTATTTCTGCTGTCAACATACTCAGAGGCTAAAAAGTTTATTCTGATTGAGCAAGACATTGCTGCAAGTTTTACTACGTGTAAAGTGGAAAAGCAGTCTGGTGTTTAAAATGAGGCAGTTTTTTTATTAAATTAATTGTGGAGAAGACTCTCCCCACCCAACCCCTTTCTGCTTTGCAGATTTAATACCTACCAGTCATTGTATCTGGTCACTGTGGTAACCAGTTAAAAATAATCAATGTCCATGGAATCAACTCAATAGCAGCCAGAGGGCAGAAATACAGGCTTTCTAGATAACCAGCTCTGAGTGTCATCACTGAGGTCCTGTTCCTTCAAGATCATCGCCTCTCTTTATCAAATGGCCTACGCCTGACYATAATACTGCTCCTTTCCTACTTTTCATCCTTATCCCTTTCTTCCCGCCTTCTTTAGCAGTAGGTTTCAAGTAACTATGGCAACAAGGCTAGGAATTTTCCACTTATTCGTTTCGTCTGAAATCTGGGTCATGTCTTTCTCATCAAGTGAAACTTGTATGGGGATAACTGGTCCAAACTCAGCCTTTGGTCCAAGAGAAGACAATGTCAGTTGTGGCAGCACTTACATGGTGGCTGTATTWGGTCCCCTGTGTCAGAAAATGTAAAGGTAAAAGGTAATCCACTTAAAATTTTGCAAGTATTTASTACATAACTGTCTCAGTTTGAGACAATGTTTTCAGAGAAAAATGTTACAGATTAAATGTTTTCTCTGAAGTGAAAAATTTGATCATTTTTCCCCACCAATATGAAATAGATGTTTGGGCAAAAGTGAAGAGAAAAAAAAGTAGTTTATTAACAAAACACAGTGCCCACAGGACACAGATAAAAAGTAACTGTTACATATTTAAAACTCAGGAACACACACCGCTCCCTCACCCCACAAACCTCTTGTGGAGAAAAGATGGTGGCTCCTGTCTCTGGAAAAAAGAAACAAAAGAAAAAAAAAAGTCCACATGACTGCTCCAGCAACAGTAGCAACCTGGTGGCAGTCCTCACTGTGGATGTAATAGAGGGCTCAGTGTGTTTTCCTGTCGGCGGCTTGGCTTCTTCTGGAGTCCGGGATGAGATGGAGCGGCGCAGCTTGTCCCTGCCAGCTGCCAAATTGCTCCAGAAGAAAAATCACACAAGTCGGAGAAGGGGGTGGCAGTCCTTGGAAAAACTGCCCAAGCTATCAAACCCGAGCTAGCTAAACGGCAGCAGTGTAACTCCCCTGCACGCAGTGAGCAGACCTCCTGCAGCACCAATGCTGAGGTCCAAAAAGCCCCTGGCTGCATGGCAGCCCCGGCTTTTAAACTGCCTGTGCCGCCCCTGCCTCTTCTTCTAGGTCAGATTTAAAGGCACAGACACCTTTTGGGCATACAAGCTGACGGAATATAGGAATACAGGATTGGCACAAAATCAACCCAGGACAATAACTTACTCAGGGAAAACCATTGCTGTAATTTGCTCTAATTGATGTTGATTTATAAGCCAGTTGGAATAGTTTCATATTGTGTTCCTAGTCCCAAGGCATGTATTAACTGAAGGGATGCCTTCTCAGAGTGATATCGAGTGATGTAAATGATACCAGTAGCCTCTTTCATTCTTTCAAGAGCAAATGTGGTGGTGTGAAATCTTAAAGGCATCTTCTGTCAGGATAATATATTAATGTCCTGCAGTCTGACTGGATCTGAGATCAATTTTAAGGACAGAAAGATCTCCAGATTTTAACTTGTTTCACTGCCAAGGGAGTAGCAAAATTGTCTCAAATGTTCCTGTCTTACACATTTGGRTATACCACCTCTCCTTGCACCTAGGATCACTTGAAATCCTAAAAAAWTTACTGTATTTGTTCATGGAAAGCCATGCAAAACAATTACAAGGTATTTTTGTACACACTTGATGCTATGGGTCACCTAGAAGAAAAGCACAAAGCCAGCAGTATGATCAGTAACCTATCTATTACTTTGTGTTTCTTATACTGTAATTTGGTAAACACCAGCATTAGCTCTCAGCGGGATTATTATTTGTAACAGGAATGGGTTCAAAGATTTACCAGGGTATCCAGTGGCATCTTGGGTATCAGTCACCCAAGAGTCTGCGCTACCTGATCTGAGTGCATGATGCCACACAGAGATGAGCTTAGGAGGCTGTTTGGTGCTTCCTTTCATGTGTTGTTTTGGCCACAATGAGGCAATAAAGGCTRTTACCTTTYCCTCCAAAGCTTTGCAGTAGCTCAGTGTTYGTGAATCACAAACRCACCTGGCTACTACCAGGTCCCTACCATGCACACGGGGAAATAGCTCRTCTGTAGCTGGTGTTTGTATGCCTCAGCTCTCTGCATCGGAGGCYTATAAGTGAGGTTACTTTGTGTCACTAAAGAAGTGGTGGCTGCATCTGGAAACGTTGGAATCACAGCAGAGACAATTACCGTGAAGCTGGATGACGCCACCACGTGGCCTGTGACTTAGGTTGCGAAGTGTTCGACAAATGAGAAGAGATGGGTTTCCCGAACTGAGCTGTAAGAAAGGGGATACATTTTTCAGCTTTTGCTTCCTTGTTTTTGGGTCACCACTACCTGTCACTGTCAGTGATGCAGGCTTGTTGGAAGATGTTCATAGAAGCATTTTCAAGAGCAMAGGATCTTTTCAAGAGACATGAAGAGCATTCATTCCTCACTGTTAAGCTTCCTTCCCTTCAGAGGGCTTCAARAGCTGCTGCTTTATTTAATGGGAGATGTTTGCACCAAACAGCAGGATTGAGGTGGGGTCTTATCTAGTGGAACAGGCAAGTCCCCAACGTAGTTCTGCCCTTTCTCTCTTCTACCATGCTCCCAGTACGTCTCTGTAAGATCGTTTAGCATTCCTTATAACCCCTGACTCTAACCTTTCAGCAGAATTCATTCAAATGTCCCATTTCCAAAGGTGAAGAATGCAATGGTGGGGAGGGATGCAAGACCTTAGACCCCTACATATGATCAGAGCAATCACCAGACTGTTACTTTTATGGAATAAGGGTTTACAGGTTTACAGATGAGAGAGCTACAACACTGAAGGGTACAGACACTGCTCTATGTACATTAAAAGWATGCCACCAACTGCATCAGTTCAGTGAGCTGGCTGAATTAATGCATTTTTCAGGAAGATAACAGTTTGTTCTGGAGTTCCCAGTGTGCCTGCAGGCTGGTAGTGAGTGACCAAACACTCGGCCCACCTGCACCGTGCTTGTGGAACAGCAGGGCCAAGCTGGACACTGCCGGCTGCTCAGAACCACACTGCTCCAGGGTCATCCTAGTGCACATGGCACAGGATTGCATCCAGATGGTTCTTGAATACCTCCAGTGAGGGAGACTGCACAACCTCTCGGGACAATCTGTTCCAGTGCTAGGTCACCTGCACAGTAAAGAAATTCTTCCTCATATCGAGGTGGAAGAGCCAGGCTCCGCTCGGTGGTGCCAAGCAAAAGGGCAAGAGCTGAAACGGACGCTCAGGAAATTCCACCTTAGCACGAGGTGTCCCAGCACCAGCGTGTCATAACGCGGTTCCACCGGGACCCTGCACACCCACGGTGCTGTGCTCTCTATTCCACGCCCTGTGTTCATCGCGCTCGTGCAAATCACTCTGCTGTGCGAACGCCGATTCTGCGGGTGGCGTTGAGGCCGGGGTCGGGCCGCAGAAAGTCCTTCTTCCCCCGCAGTGCCTCCAGCGAGGCTGCACGGCGCTGCCCCGGCCCCAGCGGCGCACACGGCGGGGCGGCGGCACCATCGCTGTCCCACGGGGATCCGGGGGAGCGGCGGGCACCGCCCCAGCGCGCATGCGCGGCCCCGCCACCGCCCCGGGGAGCGCGTCAGTTCCGGGTTGGGCCGGCGGCCCCCGGCGGAGCGCGGCCCCGTCCCGCCCCATCCCGACCCCCGGCGCGGCCCTGCCCTGCCCACGGAGGGTCGGCATGGAGAAGCTGCGGCGGGTGCTGGCYGGCCAGGACGACGAGGAACAGGGACTGACGGCGCAGGTACCGCTCGGCCAGGGCCCGTTCTCCCTCCCCACCGCGGTGCGGGGCGCGCAGGGGTCGAGCGGCGCTGGAGGCTCCCCGCGCCGGGCCCGTCCCGGTGTCCGSGGCTCGGGCGCTGGCGTGTTCCCCGCGCTGCTTTCCTCCCTCCTCGGCCTGCGCACACGCACTTCCGCACTCTCAATGTCTGCCCGACCGTGTCAGAGGGGCAGAGACGGGCAGGCGAAGCAGAGATCAGAATTTGCAGGAGGAAAGTTGTGGGCAGTAGGCCCTGGCTGGAGGATGAGTTTTGGCGAATTCCTCCWGTGTGAAGCTTTTTGCTGTGCTGGTGGATTGGAGTCCTGTGGTTTCTACAAGGTTTTCTTGTGCTTCCAAGTACTGTCCAAACAAAGCAGAGAATTTGGACCAGATAACACACCGTGGTCCCTCCCAACCCGACCGACTCTGCGATTCTGTGTGAATTGCTTCTGCATTCTCTTATGCCCTTAAACTTGCAGAAGCAAAGGCATTCTTTAGACCAAGATAGTTTGTGTACATTCTGCTGAAGTTACTTTTTGCCCCTTACTTCTCAAGTACGACTTAATTGTTCTGTTTCCTTCCCRCTATGTTCCTCATCATCAGGTGTTTTTTTGTTTCGATTTTACTATGKTTGAAGACCATACATTCCTGAGAATTAATCAGGAAGCAAAGCTGAGCATGCTTACAAAGAGCCATTTATTCTTTCARCTCCCTAATTCATGTGACTGCAGGTCAAAGTGCCCCACATCAAAGAATATCTTGATACTGCTTGCTGCTTACAGGGTGCTGGAGAATGGTGGGGGAAGCTGGAACRTAGCTGGGATCTGAGCTGCAGCTAACAAAACTTGGTGAACCACCACAGCCTGATAGCATGATATTAGTTCTAGCAGCTTGCTGCTGACATGATTCACTTGGTTTTGTACTGAGTTGTTGGTCTTAAAGGTTCATTAATTTGGCCTCTCTGCCACAGCAAAGCAGCTAGATTGTGTCCCCTGATTCTGGAAGCAGTGTAGGATCTGTGCCCTTTCACACCAGAATTGGCTGCCAGCATTTGGGAGGGTTGCCTCACTTTCTGCTCTTCTCAGGATTATCAAAGAAATACTTATATTTCTGTTAATCTCAGTTCGTTTCCAAGTGAATTAAATATTCTGCTATCACCAGTCACATTTAATGTGAGACACATCATAGTGACATAGTTTTCTTTTACTTGAGACTGGGATAATTGTTTTAAGGTGGCAATCAGTAGCCAATGCCTGCATATTTAATAATTTGTATTTGAGATGCATATCCTGAGAAGGAGAGAACTGACCTAAGAAAATGTTATTTGTTAAATGTCAGTAATTAAACTATATGTGATTTCACTATTGCATGGAATGATACTATTATAGCCAGAAAAGACTTTAAATAAGAAAAATCTGCCTTTATTTAAAGCCTATCTGGTACATGATAGAAGGAAACTTATAAATGTGTCTTTGGTGCAGTGCAAAGGAGCCTCATGCTGAGATGAACCAGAAAGATCTTTAAAATAAATAACTTTGACTTAAAAAAAAGYGAAGTGTTTAGGTCAGGCAATTTCTCAGCTATATGTTTCTCTTATGGTAGCAATGTTTGTGTAGGACACTGGAAATCAAGCCTTTTTTTAGTGAGTAAACTAATACGTGACATTCAGTAAAGCTATGGCTGAATGGTGTTGACTATCTTTAAAGTTGTGTGTATTAGAGCAAAAAGGTATGTGCAGCCATGCAGAGAGCACTTGGTAAGAGGCAGGGTTATGAAAGAAAGTGTGAGGTTATACATTTTGTGTGTAGAATTTTCAGCTGTTTTAATGATCTCTCTGAAGACGAGTCATGTGTTTGGTTGAAAACAATGGCCCTCTCTTTGGCATAGCTGATAGTTGTGCAATAGCTGTCATATGGKTCATGTATCCCTGTATTCTTTTCCTTGATTTTTGGAGAACCATTGTCATGAAGTCAGGAGTAATTCCTGCTAAGTAGAAGACAAGTCTGTAGGGAAACAACTGTGTGATGATTTAACAACTGTGTGAACTCCTTCTATCCTTTCTAAATTCCTCAGATGACCAGCTGTTGTTTCTTGCTACATTAGATCCATTATTCTAAATATATTTTTTTAAAAAATTAAAGGAATAAATTACCAAAAAGATCATTAACAAATTGTAAGTATAGCAGCGTAATGATGTTTCCAGGGCAGCATTATGCTGCTTAGTTTTATCAACACCAAAACTAATRTAAAATCAGTCCATGTGACAAACTGGCTGGAGTTGCATGACAGCTGCTTAAAAACAAGATTTCAGTAAAGAGGAATAAACCAGGTATTTAGATTTCTTATATTTTACTCACCAGYGCTGATAGAAATACATATAAGGAAGCCTGTTAGGGAAAGGTAAAAATATATCTCTAGAAATATTTTTTTCAATATGGCTTAGAAACTCAATTCTCCAAATTTACTCAACCTTKCTTTGAATTTTCTCCATTATTTACATATTTCTAAATTTACCATCAAGAAAAGATGCAATTGTCAGSTTCTAGAATATTTCTTAAAATTTGTAAAATAAAGTGGTTCTTTGTTGGCCCACATGGAAAGCTGTTGTAAGATCATTAATATATGGAGGGAGCCTATGTGGATGTTAAGAGCCTCAAGAAGTATTTTGGAARGGTCTTGGAAAGGTAATGAGCTCCATTGCTTCCATGAAATCCAAAAAGTAGRGTTTGTAGAATATCCTGACCTGGAAGGGGCCCACAAGGACAGTCAAGTCCAACTCATAGCCCTGCTCAGCACCATCCCCAAGAGTCACACCATGTGCCCGARAGCATTGTCCAAATGACTCCTGAGCTCTCTTAGGCTGGTGCTGTGACCGCTTTCTGGAGAGCCTGTTCCRGTGTCCARCCACCCTCTGGATAAAGAACCTTTTCTTGATATCCAGYCTAAACCTYCCTGACACACTTCAGCTGTTCCCTCAGGTCCTGTCTGGTCRCTACAGAGCARAGRTCAGTGCCTGGCCCTCTGCTTCCCCTCATGAGGAAGCTGTAGACTGCAGTGAGTTCTCCCCTCATTCCCCTTAGGTATCAGTGACTAAGAAAATGCCTTACCAGATCCCCAGTTTCAGGATTTCAGACATTGGATTAAAGGGGTTCAGCTTGACATCATAAATGATTKCATCATTAGGAATGGTTGCATGATCAGCCTTCCTTTTAATGCAAATTTATTTATTTAGTTTTATTATTACACAGAACGCTATGTTGGGGTGCTCTGGCAGCCCTCATGCTGCAGTTTATTTTCCTGTACTTCATATGCATACATTGTCAGTCTAAGTTTTTTAGGCATTAAATCCATAAAATGTATCAAACTTCTTTGGGTTTGTGGCATTTTTTGCTCCAAGCCTTTGTGTGGTTCTCGTATTTCWTGTGCTGGTATTTTTTTCACCTCATAACTGTTAGGCATTTAAATGAAGATAAAGCTGTTTTCAAATACTTTTGAAGAATGAAATCTCCTGGTAGTCACTTCAGGAGCACAGTCAGATATTAAGATTAGAAGTAGAAGAGCAGAGTGTGGCAACAGTGAGCCTGGTGCGCCTGGATAAATGATTTATGTTCATCCTTTCCCTGTCTTCTAGGCAATCTGAAATATGTGTGTTGTGTTTTCTGATAGTATTGGCCTGTCTACACTTCATTTCTGAACACAGATGGAAAGGATTTTTACTCTAGTTTTCGTGTGTGTGTGTGCTTGTGATTAGTTGAATGAATAGATGTAGMTAAAGGCACGATTGAAATGAGTGTCTTCAGCTATGTCCTACCAGCTATTCTTACTCTTAAATGAGTAGGCTATGACTGTCAAATATGATTTAAAATAGTAAGCCCTCTTTCAGTTACCGTTTTTGTCTGTTTCTTTAATGCATACATAAGGATAAAGTGTTGGACCTAACAAGGTAAGCTGCATCTTCTGGACTATGGGAAGTTCTGTCATCACAGCACTTTTATGTGTGCATGCGTGTGGCACTTTTTTATTAAACTAGATACACATTCTTCATTTGTACAGATGTGAAATTGTTCTAAGCAATAACCAAATTTCCTTAGTTCACTTACCACCTCCAGAAAGAGAAATTTCTCAAAAGAGATTAGGAGAAATATCATACTCATTGGCAGGGGAAGGCCTAACTTTCATATTTGGTTAATATGACTTGATTTAAATAGCTGTAGACTCGAAAGCAAGAGGGCAAGATTRCCTGTGACATCTGAACGAATAGGAAAGTTGGCACTTTAAAGTATTTTTGTGTAAGCTGAAGCAAYACTTCACTTAATAGGCCAGTTTAGAAAAGAAAGTACATTTAATTGTGGTGACCTGGAGTAACCTGAAATGCATTGTTCTTACAGCATGGGTRGAGATGAGCTGAGCATGTCTGACAAATCATTTCTGCTAAAAGGGACCATTCTACCAGATACATGGCCCTGCCTCTTTCCTTACATCAGCCCTGTTGCTTTTCTGACAGCTTGCAGAGCTGGCTTGGCTCATTAGCCAAGTCATCAGAATAGAAGAAACACTGGTTCTGTTCTCATGTCMTGAGTTGGGTCAGGTAGCTCAGCTCATTACGTTTTGGAGTCATTCTGGAGAAGCAGGAAGTAAAATACTCCCTTTCAGCAAGTTTGCTACGTCTGATGAGACATGCTGTGTTAATSTGCCTGCATCTTCACCCTGTAAGGAACAGTAATTGGAGTTGTAATGCTTGCAGTGGATACTGGTATTAATATGTAAAARGGATCCTCTCTAGTAACAGGAAAAGGTTTTAATATCTATAGGAACCTAGAGTTTTTCACAATAGATTAATTRCTCTGCAAATTGCTAGAAGGTCCATTCATTGTTTTGATTTGGTACAATTGTGATTATTTTCAGTTGTATCGTRATAAGAAGGTCTGTTGAAAGTGAAGCAGTATTGCTTGTTTGCCGGGATATACCTTTATGGGCTTTGCCTTTTTTTGTTTGTTTGTTAATGTTTCCATATGTTCCGGATTGATAATAGAATTTTATAATATGAAAGCATTTATACACATGCAACTGTTAAGCAATTATTTCYGGCTGAAGAATTGTTGTTTGAAATTAAGGATTTCAGTGGTAAAGAAAAAAAGGTCCTATCCTCTTTTGTAATAGCCTCTTTTTCCTCTCTTCCTGTTAAGGTCCTTGATGCCTCAACACTCAGCTTTGGTACTCGAGTCAGATGGTTTGCCATATGCTTTGTTGCTGGGATTTTGTGTTCTTTTCTTGTAAGTAAAGTTGTTTTTTTCCATTGTGCTTTATTACTGTTATAGAGTTGAGCCTTATTCATATTCCTGCTTTATATTTGATCTTGCTTTATATGCTTTATCCTATTTTCTAGGATTCTAAATTTTGAATATATTTATTTAACTGGACATTAAATGCATAATTGGCTGTTGATCTCTAAATTATGATTTTGACTGTTTTTCTTCCAATTACAGAAGAGAGCATTTTTATTGTAGCATAATACTACAGTATTACTATAGTAATTCCTTACTAAAAGGTTTGAACACTGACAAAATATGCCCTATTTTTCTAACTGGTGTGTTAGGAGAGAGGTGTGTACCCATCTTTTATTCTCTCTAATAAAAGGAGAAAAGAGTGGGGAAGCTTGAAAGGTTTTTAAAGACTGAAAAAAACCATGAGTATAGCCTGTCACACTCAACAAATCAATAGGTGATGACTGTGGTTGTGTGTTGATATTTGAAAAACCTGCAYTCCTAGTGGTTTTACAGTCAGCAAAGCATTTGTTCATTCTTGAACTTTGGGGGCTGGCAGGATATCCAGCTTGCAGTTAAGAGTTGAGATCTGTTAATTGCTTCTGTCTGTCAAAAATCTGACACAGGTAACTTGCAGTAGAAAGCAGTTTCAGCTGCGTGGAAACACGCAGAAGCACGTGAAAAAACATTGGGGAAGTCCTCCCTCCTTTTCCTGCCCCCCCTCCTCTTCCTCCTCCACCCACTTTTCCTCTCCCCTTCATTTTTCTTCCCTCCTTTCCTCCCTCCTCTTTCTTCCTCTCTCTTTCCTTTCTTTTCACCACAGATTTCTACTGAAATTGCACTTGACTAAAATGCAGTTGCTTTTTATTTTTGGTTGGGTTTTTTCAGGGCATAGTGTGYCGATCACAGTTTGTTTTGCATTTAGTTGAGGCTCTGTCTAGTCTGTGACAGGCTGAGAAAGTTGGATCTGTACAGCTTGGAGAAGAGARGGKTGYGTGGAGCCTTCCAGTATCTGAAGGGRGCCTACAGGGAAGCCAGGAAGGGGCTCRTCATCAGGAGCTGTAGTGATAGGACAAGGAGTAATGAATACAAATTGGAAAAATGGGAAATTCAGGTTAGATGCRTGGAAGAAATTCTTTATTGCAAGGCAGTAGTGAGGCAGTAGAACAGGTTGCCCAGCGAAGTTGTGGATGCCCTATTCCTGGCAATATTGAAAGCCAGGCTGAATGGGGCTTTGAGCAGCCTGGTCTACTGGGAGRTGCYRCTGCCYATGGCAGTGGGGGTTGGATCTAGGTGGTCTTTAAGATCCCTTCCAATCCAAGCCATTCAAACCCTTTTCTCCCTGATAATCGTAGGTGACTGTGATCAGCAGAAGGCTGTGGGTTTTTTTTTGAGTTTAGTGGAAAGAAGAGATATCTGGAAGTAAGAGCTGTAAAATGTTTCTATTCAGCCTCAGTATGTATTTAGACTTTAAATCCAGATAGCTGATTRGAGGAAGGAGATGGTGAATATTAGTGCAACTTTATTACATTTTATCTTGTGTGCAGAGGTGTAGGATGTACCGTGGGACACTGAAACAAAAGTGAAAGTGTTGTGAATAGAATATAAACAGTACAAATAAATGTGTTCAATCATATCAACAAACGTTGCTTAGTTGTAGTATTTAGAAATACAGTAAACCAACACATTGTGTTACCAGCAGGTGGCAATAGAAGTGTGCTGAGTAGTGACTGCTGCAACTCTGAGAGCAGTGTGCTCTGCTAGTGTATGTCAGAATGATGCTCTTCATAGTGTGAGGTTGTATTTATAGACTGTAAAATCTAAATTAATTGAATTAACTGATTGCAAAAATACTAATAACCTGTCTATTATAGGGAACAGCATTGCTATGGCTCCCAAAGGGGATCAAACTTTTTGCAGTGTTCTACACCCTTGGAAATATTGCTGCWCTAGCCAGGTATGGTTTCTTAGTTATTGTTATTAGAAAAGTACCCTCCTTTTCATCAACATTTCCATTTGCTTGTACCCTAGGGTGGTGTCTGTTTATGTTGTGCATAATGACATATTTCATGCTGAAGTGCTAGTAACAAAGGCTTGTTTGTTTTACAGTTTCGTTGTGTATCAGTTATCTTACACATTTGGACACATCACAACTGCTCTCTGGAGTATGAATTACAAATGGCTAGCTGAATGTTTTGTACTTTTTACAGCTAAATCCTTCTGCCAGGTACAGAAGTACCTCAGCTTCAAGAGCAAACTGGTAGTGTACCCACTGTGTGGACACTTTGTTGCTGGAAGGAGCTTTTCGCTGTTAATGGGGAGGTCATCCCATTTCAAAAGAAACTTTCAAAAAGGAAACATTCGGGAAATCCTTGTTTTGACTGCAGAGCAAAGGCAGAATGTAAAAATTGTTCAAAATGTATTTTTAAACTCTGTGTTTGATCCTTTGAAGTGTTCCACATAACAGTTTTAAAACATTTGCAGAAGGAGCCTGTTAGGATTGAAAACTTTCACAGTTTGAAAGACATGTAAGAAACAACTTAATGCCAATAAAGTATTTCTAGTTTCTCCTTTTCCTCCTTCTCTTATTATCTTTGTGTAGTTGAAGCATGGTCATGGAACTCAAACCTCATGGACTCTGGTCTTGATTTCCATGGACTCTGTGGCTTTAGTCAAGTGACTTAATCTTGAGTCAAAGCATTGTTAGTCTGTTAAAACTCAGGTAATGTGACATAGTCTGTTAAAACTCAGGTAATGTGACATTAACATATGAGAAATGTGATGGTGTACTGCTTTTCCTCAATAAATTTGTTTGGAGGCAGTAATTTCTATACTGAAAATGAGTCTAAATTGTAGAACTATTCCATCTCATACTAAAACAAGACAAAAAGTTAATAATAACTGGAGATAAGCAAAGCTAAGTGTTTACCATTCTTTCCCTTATCTTACTCTTTATTCTTTGTTGTTGGTTTGGGGTGAGGTTTTTTGTTGTGTTGTTTTTACCTGGTACTTTGGGTGTGTTTTCATGGCTTCAAATTAAATGAGCATTTTAGAAATTTAGTACTAATTAAGTTTAGAGGAAAGTTTTTACAGGCTGGTATGTCTTTTAGGATAATGCTGAAAAACTTTAGTCTGGATTCCAGCTAAAATTAGAAGAAAAAAGAGGCCCCTTTTTCCTTCTATAGTACTTTTAGGTATAAACAACAGGCAGCTGTGTTCTAAGAACAGTAGGAGATGACAATGCAGTCCCAAATTGACAAGCAGATTTCAACATTTTGAGGCTGTTTGCAAGACTSTATTTAATCCAAAATGCAGTTACCAGTCTTGCAAGCCTGTTTAGTCCCCTCTAGCTTGTTTTTACTCTTAATTTTCTAACGAGGAACATGAAAACAATGATAGTTGCTTGATTATTCTCAGGGATGATGTGTGTATCTCCTACAGAATATGGTGTATCTAAGGAAATKATCCTGTTTAGTTGCAAGATGTTTAGAATTTTTTTCCAGCCTTTCTTTCTGCTCCCTGTGGAATCTCTTCTCATGTCTGGAGAAGCTCTTGTGATGTCAGTCTTTTCAATGCAAATCAGATTACAAACAATGCATTTTGCTTTTTTTTTTGTATTTTTTTCTGCCTATTTGATGTGGCCTAAACTTAACTCTGTTTTACCACTGTATTTTCCTCATCTCTACCCTTCCTATTAGCTAGCTATTTTTTTCTTTTCATTTTTCACATTCCCTTTTTTTTGTCTTAATTTAATTTTCTGGCTCAGCTGACAAGAGGAAAAATACAGAGAAAAATTTAGTTTGGATTGCAGTGAATTTGAAACTTTYATTTTTCTATTGAATTGTGAAAACTTTTCCATTTAGACCATTTGAGGTCTCTCTACATAAAATTAAAAGGAAAAKAAGATACATGTGCAAAGTTGCTGGTAGGAGAACATTTGGATGTGGAAGATTGAGTTCCATTTACTGCCTGGAATGTGAATCCTGTATTTCTTCTGTCATAGAAGGCTTATGGTTGGTTTCAGGAGGAAACTCTATCATACTCTTCCCTGCTTCATTTCATATAAAAATGAATGACTAGAAAAGGAGTTAAGCTASGTTTTCTGCTCTGTAGTAAAGCATTCAGACCACCACAAAATTACAGGCATTTTAACTCTTTCACTAAATTGTGTTTTCTGCAAAGCAGAATGATAAGAAAGAGACTCATCTCAAATATTTGAAGCCAGAGAATTACTCCTGGGGTTGTGAGCTCTTAGTTCAGATGGCATTTCTTTGCATGAAAAGGTACAGCTTGTGGAGTTGCTGGTTGTTTTCATTCTCCCTTCAAGTTAACTATAGAGTGGAAAAAAGAAGGACTGAACAAGTCCTACTGAACTTTTTAGTTCCTTTTTGCTTGCTGAGTTTGACCAAAACAGGTAGAGCTTCCCTGTAATCCTGATTGTAGCTACTTGCATTCTGCCTAGAAAAATGTATTATTAAAGATACATTTTCTATAGCAGTTTGGTCTTTGTAATCTTGACATTGTTTTGTCAAGTCAGTTCTTAAAACAGCTTCAACATGAAATGCACYAGACTTCAACTTGATAGCCCTCTGCTATATTTATTTATAGTGTAATGTTTTGTTTTGGTAATGTAAAAAGCTCTAACCTTTATATTTGTTCCCATTATCATTCCCCAAATCTTGGATATGATCTCATTTACTTCTGCAGTTGAGTTTTCTCAATTTTTTCCCATACATTATAGTGCTTGCCATCTTAAAATAACAATCAAAACATCTTTGACTACCCACCCATCTCTAAATTCAAGTAGAGCTACTTATAGGCATTGTTCAATCGCCTCCCATTTTGTCTCTTAAAATGATTTAAATTTAACTGTAACTGCACTGCTTTCTTAATTGTCTTTATTTATAAATGACATTTATCACCATCAAACAGATTATTAATGGAAGTGTATTTCTTCTTATTCTATGAAAGAATATGAAAAACTGATTTTCTTCTATGATCTTCTGTTATTTCTTAAGTATATCCTTGTCACACTGTTCTCTCTTACCTCAACCAATATAAGTGTTCTTGTACTTGCCTGTTACTTTTTTTTACTATGGTAATATTTTGGAAAGAATTTTATGACCAGGGGTGACTCATAAACTGTTTCCAGGGCTAAATTMATGGAGTATTTCACCTTCTGTTCTAGTGAGTCTCTGTTGCTAAGCACTGAMATATCTTTTTTTAAAGCCTTTGTAGTCATCTATCTGTTGGAAAACTGGTTAATTACCTACTGTCTTCTAGAAAGACTTGCTTGAAAGTGATTTACAATTTGTTTCWTTTTTTCTCTCCTATTAGTACATGTTTCCTGATGGGGCCACTGAAGCAACTGAAAGCAATGTTTGATCCAAAACGATTAATAGCTACAATTGTGATGTTGGTAAATATACTATCATTGCTTCCTTTTATTAAAAAGTTTTTGTTTMGCCTCAAAGCTAAATTTGATGCTTTTCTAAAGGGAGTTATTTCTCAGTCTGTCTCTTCCTTCTGCTGAGAAATTACAGTCAAGCTGTTTAGCTCTGTATGTCACAAAGATCATTTAGCTCCTTTCTATGAACGTGTCTGGTTTTGTTGTTTATGATTTTCTAATTAATCGTTTGTAGTAAAATAGTCTTTACTAAATATTTCTTAGTAAATGTTAATAGCAGGTTAATATTTTTTAATTAATTTTGTAAAATATTTTCTTCAAGAGCAAGGCAAGAGTCTTTTTAGCTACTGTGTAAAGTCAGTGGTCAGTAAGTATAGCTTGACAGTTGTTGGCTGCAGACTTGGYCTGTAAAGGTCAGTGGTTCAGCACTTTCTAAGCAGTGGAGAAAATAAATTTATTTCCCCAAAAGTCTGGGAGGCTGCACATCCAGCTTTCAGATTCTCCATTGTGTTTTTCCTGGYTCCTTTACTTTCATGACCATCATTTCTTTACCCAGGAGGAAGGAGAAAACCTTCTTCCCAGTATCAGAATTCCTACCCCAAACCTCTATATTAGGTGGTTAAAACAACTTTCTGCCCTTTCTGCTTCTCTGTTTTGTACTTAACTCTCTTGTTCCTCCTGATTTGTTTCAACTATCATTTTTAAAATAATGTCCTATTTYCCCTATCATAGAACTTGTTTTTCTAGTTGATTAGTGGGTAAGAAAGTCTTCATAAATTCTTTCTGGGTGGTTGTCATGTGGGGGTTGTATATTTTTCCTCTCACATACCCACATTTAAAAAAAAGTTATAATCTCATTTGTGAAGCTCATGCTTGCCCATGTCTTTTGGGGAAGTCACTTTATCCTTACTTGGACTCCAAGCTTTGTTCAAGAGGTTTGTTTTGTTAGAGTGTTTTTGTTTTGTTCTGTCATTATTTACAACTATGACAACACTATGTTACAAGTCCTAGGAAGGTTATATTTCATAGGTCTGAATTAAAAATGTCCAAGAATGTCACTGGTTCTCCTAGAGTCTATATTTGCTGAACATGAATTCTCCAACACTTTACAGCTGTGGGCTTTTTGCAGTGAAACTGAGAGCCTAAGCCAGGCACTTAAAACAGCAGACACAAAATCATTTTGCTCTGAGGATCCTGTCATCCACTCTGCTCAGACATGGTGACAAAGAAAATAACTCACTTTGAAGGCTGTAAAAGCAAGACACATCAGGGAAATGGAAAGAGAACAGAGAGCAGAGAAAACATTACAAAYCCACCTGTACAGAGAGGCTACCAACAAAGCTGGGAAAAGACAGAATGAAAGGTTTCATGTAATAGTGAACATGAACGTTGGATGAGAGCTAAGACTTTTAGTATGGAAATTTCAGTAAAACAGAGAAGAATTGGGAAAGTTAAAGTTTTGAAAAGAACTGTTTTAATCCCCATCCTACCACAAAGCTAGAATTATAGACAGTTCAGGAGTCACAAACATATTTGGAAAATTTCAAAAGAGTCTGTTGTCTTTTCTTCCTTTCAACAGAGAACCAACAATTTTTTTTTCCAAATGAAAATTAATTTTTTTCTGTTTTCTGCTATATGTAATGGCAAATGTAGAAAGCCAGATAGGATTTAGTGGAAAAGTTCTAAGTGGTGGTTAGCTTGTACAAATGGTATTATGCCAATTATTTGGCATAATAAACCACATCATTGTAATGTTTCATCCAAAGTGTGTAAGTACCTTAACAAAGCTTCATGTGAGCTTTTYCACTGTACCTGAGGTACCTGAGGCAGCTTCTCCCTAGTGGATTCTTCATTACTGTTAGAAGATGAAAAGGTACTGGCAGATGAGGCATAGCCTGAATTTGCCAGATACTGTAATTGAGAATGGATGTTTTTAATAGAGGGTTGTTCGTAGTGAGGCACATATCTTTCTTGTCAGAGATGGGTGTTATTAATTCTAGGTTCAAAATGATAGTATGTACTGGAATAAGAGAGTAGCAGTTACCAGACCACTTGATTCCTTTCAATAAAGCTTTATCATCTAATCCCACTTCTTAATAGAACTAATACATAAAGGTCTCTATTAGGTAGACCACACACCTGGTTATACTCCTCTTGATTCCTGAAGTGAACTCCTGCCTCCTCTTTCTTCCAATACTTGTCCCAACCCTTCTGGCCATGAATACCTCATACYGTGCTTTGAAAAACACACTTTACATGGAGTTCATCATATAGTCACTATGTGACAGCCTTTTCCTCTGCTTGTTTCCTAAGCCAGTTTCAAATACTGATTGCCCATTGAAAACATGGAAAYGGTTACTTGTATTTGCTTTGTTGTGTATTTGAGTATTCTTTTTTTTTTGTCTCTCTTCACCCCAGCTTTGCCTAATATTAACTCTGTGTGCTGTATTCTGGGTAAGTGAGAATGCTTTTTTCCTCTAAAGTGCAATCTAACTTAGTTAATTTATTAATTCTATTGTAGCTTTAAGATACAGTTCACTTATAGAGGAAGGGTGAGCTCATGTGTGTGGTGTTTCTGTTGTCTGCTGCTGTTGAGCTTAGGTGGAGTGATGAGCCTTCTGGCTGTAAAGCAAATGCATCCTTCCACCGGCATGTGATGTAGATGARAATACAAAATCTAAAGCATCAGATTCAGTCTGCAGATCTCTAGAATAAAAATGGAGAAAAGCAAGTTAAAATATTGTTTCAGTGATGCATAATTAYGTCACAAAGTATCAGAGTATGTAGTCATCTTTAGAAGCTATGGATATAGAACATTAATCTGCTTAAGACAACAGAAAAAAAACAAATGTCTTCAAGCATCTTGGTTGAAAACTGTAGTTACATTCCATAGAAGTAAATATGTCACTGGAAGTAACTTCCGTATTTGCAGAAGTATAGTGTCATCAATGAGTGTTAACACTGGTATTGTTGGGTGTTTTCAAAGCTAAAAAAGGTTTTCATGGCATGATGCTAATGAAATGATAGAAAAAATGAATGGAGAGTTGTTAGGAAAGAAATAGCAAWTTGAGACAAGGAAATTTAGGCATTRTCARTTAACTCAATTTTTGATTGAACACACTGTTTCAATAGTTTACCATATAGACTGGTGCAAAATTAACTAACTTGCTTTATTTTTATTTTTACTTAGTGGAACAAAAAAGGTTTGGCGATGTTATTCTGCATATTGCAGTTCTTGGCAATGACCTGGTAGGATTCGTAAAATTCCTTTTAATTTCCTCTCCCTGCCCCTATACCCGCATGATTATAAACCTAAATATATATATGACTCACATATAAGCGTACCCAAATGCTAGCCTCAATCTGTTTTTCTCAGCTACGTTGTGTAACTCCAGCTAAATCTATGTTCAGTCGTCTTGCAAAAATGGTAATTTGAAGTGTATYCTGCAATGTGTGAACTTATCTGAAGCCTTATGAAAGGAATATATATGCAAAAAAAATTGTCATGCTTTTTCTGTGTTGTGAAAGTAACAATGTAATCTCTTCTTTGAATTCTAACTCTTTTTTCATTTTGAAAGTGCAGGAAACTGAAAAACATTTTTGTAGGGTATCTCCTGCCCTGGGAATATACAATGGCACTGGGTAAAGAGTGGGTGGATGTGAGAGGGTGAATTTAGTGCAGCAGGTACTGTGATGACCATCTGAGTTTGCTCAGGGGCTGGGTTTGGCAATGTGTGAATGAAATTGGGTGAATGCCTGCAAGCCTGGCAGAAGTTTTGGAAGTTACTACTTTCTYCATAGAGATACACACTTTGTGTCCTTGTCCCAGGTGAATGACTTGGTGCTAACTCTCAGGCAACCCAAGGTGACCACAGTTCTCGTTTGAACTTGCCCTGGATACACAGTGTCTATACTGAACTTGGGTGTGAGGACAAGTGAACATTTGTTCAGGGTAGGGACTGTTGGGTGTGGTACTAGATAGAGGGAAGACCGCCAGCTCAGCCTGTGCTCTGCGTGTTTGCAGCAGACAGTTCACATTTGTTAAGTGTCCTGAAGTTTGATCAGGCCAGGCATGAGAACAAAAAACTGCCTGGAGACTTGTGAGAAGCAAATTTCAGAGAATAATAGATATGTCAGCTGTCTCAGTGTCACAATTGTGGAATATTATTCATACTGCAGCATGTAGCTGTATTTAGTTCCATAAATAATATGATTAGATGTATGTTTGCATAGTAGTTTAGATTGTCTTTTAAACTGGAAAAAATTGTCTCTATCATCCTGAATACAGTTTTCCCAGAAATCCCTATTCCTTTTGGATTTGGCAATAGCAAGTCTGGTTTTTTTAAAGGTCGTGTGCAATGGAAGTTACGAACTACATTTAAAAAAAAAAAAAAGAGGGGAAAAAAACCCCAGCTAAACAAGGGAAAACTAAACCACAAAATCCTTGTCAGTATGTTTAGTTCTTGTCCAAACATGTCATCTTTTCTCAGGTAAGCATTAAATTGAATTGGTAATCTTGTTAAAAATTTTGTTACAACAGGTTACTTTTATTAATGCTGGGCTAAAGTGAGATAATGTTCTAGGAGAGACATGAACACTCTACAAATACACTTTTTTCCTCTTTTTTCAGGTATAGTCTGTCTTATATTCCTTTTGCAAGGTGAGTCTGCATAATAATATCCACGTTAACAGAAGTCAGTTACCTTTATGCTGGGGAGAGGGGAAAAAGTACTTTAGGTGTGTGGAAAAATATAACATCCTCCCTCTTTAATTTTTAGAAAATGGCATAGCTGAACTTAAAAGTCATGCTTAATATAAGCTTTAAATGAAAGTACAATGCATGGAAATGCTCTTTAATAAATTTCTCTCTAGTTTCTGTCACTGAAAATAAATCATTGTTTTGTTTAAGTTTTCCARTGATTTAACAATACATGATGCAATGTGACTTTTCTGGTCCTAAAATTAAAGGTAACTTATGGATCTGAGGTCCTGGTTAAAAGCAAACAAAATACATAGTGTCAGCTTCTGTTTCTRTTTCTGAATTCCTCCATCATTTTTAGGAGGGGTAAAGGCAATGCTTTGTCTTTATTTTCATTCTGGCAAGCTTCTCTCTTTTCTTTCATTCTTATGTATACAAAAATGGAATGAAAGCAGACCAAACACATCGTGAAAACACATGCAAGTAGTGAAATGTAAGAATATTTTTTTTCAATGRTTCATGTAAAATGCAAATTTGGTCTTTTCCAGCTGTGTTTTTTAAAAAAATGTAGGCACTTTCATATCATTTAATTAGATTTTCTGTAGCAGACATGGATGGAAAAAGAATACAAACCATTGTCTGTTTCATTAGGTATTTTCCTGTAACATYGCCAAAAAATCTGTACTATATTTTTTAAAGCTTCAGATTTCAAATTGTCATTTTACTATTTCTGACAACTCAGACTAACCCAATCAGAAGTTGTATTCTGAATTCTTGTAGTTCTAGTGGCCATGAGACAGTCTCAGCAGGTTCATCACTTTTTTTGGTCTGTTTAATGGTCTGCTCTGTRGAGAAAGCAAGTTGAGCTTCTAGTCTCTCCATCTTTTTCTTCCCCACCAACAGCACTTTTAAGTTCTGAGGGGAAAAACATTTGGGTATATACATCAGTTAATTTCTTTGGATTTATTTATCTATTAGATTTATGAGCCAAAGAAGTGAATTTTATACAAACTGCTTTTAGAAATACAGTGATTTCTTTAGGGATTATTGAGTTATTTGCTTATGTGGAGTGGTATCATAAATTTGTTGTATAGGCTGCCATTCTTATGGGAACMATTATCTAAACTAAGCTAAGTGCCAAAGAGTAGTATTATGTCATTTGTTTAAAGTATGCATTTCTCTTGATTTCATAAAGAAATTGGTTTAACTCCATTAATAGTTTGATCTTCAAAACAATTTACTTGTTCATGGGTTTGCTGGGTGGGGGGCAGGGGGGAGTTGTTAGTTTCTGTTTGTTTTTCCTTTAATTAATGGTAACTCTCCTGTTGGCCTGGCAACAAAAAGCCCCACCAAACCAGACCCAAATGAAAACAGCAACAAATGCAACAAAACCAAAACCCATGCAGCTGAGTGATGATAGTATGTTTCTTCAKTTTTCAAACTRACTAGCAACAGAATACAAACTCCASTCCTTAGTAAGTTATTACTTTCCTGGGAAAAGGAAAAATAAAAGAGACTAAAGTGAGTGATATGAGTGTAACAGTCAGAAAATAGCTTATTGCTGATTGAAAAAGTACAGCCTTCCAAATCTTCCAAACCTGAAGGCTTGAACCAGCTCTCTCCATCCTGCACTGTCAGTGCACACTTTAAACCCTTCAGCCTGTGCTTTATTTCCTGCACTGTGATGGTCCAACTCCAGTGTGGCTTGGAGTCCTGGTGCCTGTGCCTTGCTGTGGATTGAGGCGCTCCTCAGCTGTGCCCTTSCTGGGCAGCCTTTGCGAAATCAGGCTCTGCCCTTTGCTCAGCCTCCCAGAGTGCTGCAGAGCAGTTCCTAACACTGTGTCTGCATTTCAGCATGGGCTGCCATGTAAACAGTGTGAACACCCTTGGTACACCCTTGGGCTTGAGCCTGGTTTGGTAGGAGCACTTACACAACAGTCTGCATTTGATAAACTATTAATATCTGTCTGCAGTTTCTGCCGTATTTATAATTGTAAATAGATAATAGTTTAGATTTATGTAAACAAAATAACAATAATCTTWACTGATTTTTCTTTTTCTTTTTTAAAGGGATGCTGTGATTAAGTGCTTCTCATCCTGTCTAGGGTAAATTAAAACCAGGAACCACTGTCCACTTCAAAAGGCAACTTTTTTCCTCTGCAAATTTTGCTCAGAAATCTGTACTTTTCCACTTCTGAAATACCCAGTAACAGTTTCGTATTTTCACTGCCTTCTTCATTTGGGAGATGAAGTAATTTTTCCTAGAAACAGTTTTTAAAATAACTTTTGAGAATTATCTGTGTTTACCCTGGAACTTCCAGGCTTTTTTCTTTTTTTAACAAAAAATTGCATTTAAATACTTCATGCAGAGTAGTCTTAACACTACTTTGTATCCAGTAACAGTTTATTCCCCAGTGGAGGCAAGTCACCAAGGTCTGGGTAGWATGCATAAAGATTTCATTTAGAGTTCTGTCTAAAATTTGCAATGTGCCATTTATGTTTRTGTATTATCCATTCTATGCTTTTCCAAAGACAGAGTTTTATAAACATTGTAAAGATTTGGTGAGTTGTAATTAACTGCTCCTTTGAAATGTCTATACATGTGCCTTATGGAAAAAACTTAATGAGAATGTGAAAGGTATGTTTAAAACTTGTTGGATTTTATTAAAAAGTTGTATTTTAAATGATTTTTTTTAAAAAGAACTTTCATACTTAAATACTTTTTACTAAAAGAACTTATGGCTAAATAAATGAGACTTGTGAATAAATTCATTTTAAAGGTGCCTAATACATTTTTATTTAGGAGTCCACTATAGAGGGCTGAAAATTTCAGCATTACGCTTGGATAAACATTAAAGCATAAAAAGGGGGATATGTATATGACTATATCCAAATTTGCTTAGTAGACTTACTGAAGTGACTTTAAAGGTTCTTTGGTTTTAGTATTTAGACAAACTGTTTATTCTGACTTAATCTGATAATAGATTGAGGTACTTTAACACTTTGACTGGCTTCAGTAAGAGGTTCTCATTTCTAACATTCTCATCTAAGAACTGTCCAGTTATTCTGGAGCAAAGTTAAATCTTTAATGTTTRATGGTTGATATTATATTGCAGGAGGTTCTTTTTTGCACAGGATGGATGTGTTTACTTATGTGTGTTCAAAACTGAGTAGGTTTGTATTTTTTTTTTCTGTTAATCCACAAATACAGAAGAAGGAATGGCTTTGAACAGACATGTTCTTCTGTGTCAGGAAGGGCGAAACCCCAGTCTTTTTAGTATTCAGGATTCAGGCTAAAGAGACAAATTGAGGTACAGTGTGTTCCAGTTAGATCTCAGTGTATATTGCAAAACATAGCAACAACTTTTTGGAAGCTATGTGCAGGGTTTTGCATTATTTTGCAGAGATGTCCAACTGAGCTCCACCTTTTAACTTATTAGTAACAGTAAATTGCCAGGGAGRCATCCTCCTTGCTGGTGATAGGACTGCCTGGCCCCACAGAAGTCTCTTGGGCTCTAGGRCTGTGTGGTATAGTGACAGCTGTTCCAGCTCTGCTGAAAGCCCTTGGGTGCTGGGGCACCCTTGGATGAATTTTTAGTTCCTTTTAGTTTTTGTCTTTCATTGAAGAGGAAGTAGGATGTGCGTAGGCAGTGATGGATGTCATCCTGGAAGTGACAGTTGACCTCAGCTGACCCTGGGGAGATCCCTTCCCACTGGTGCTTCAGAGCCAGGCCTTCATTTGCTGCAGAGCTGGTTTTGCCCATCTCCCACCAGTTCTGGTGGTACACAATYACCTTCACTGTAGTCTTTAWTTGGAATGGCAGTGGTTACCACTTAYCTGTTAGAACAAACAAAACACAAAYGCCCAAAACAAAACYCCCAACAAAACCAAAGAAAAAAAGCCCCAATGGAGTATGTGCTTTATCTCTCATAGAAGGCATTGAGGCTAAGGCTAGCAAGAAGGRTCTCTGGACTATGCTCTTCATTACCATGCCAGGCAACTCTTGTCTTCAGAGTCCAAGTTGGCCCTAAGTCTGAGTACGTCTGTCTCTTTTTCTGTCTGCCTGCTCTTACTCGTGWTACTTCAAGTAATCAATGAGCTCAGAATATCATTCATGTTTTTAAGACGGCCAAAGTGTTTTAAATTATTTTCAAATGTTGCCATTTCACATTTGGACGCTTTAGGACTTCGGGAGGACCTTMGAGCCTGTTTGCCCTCGGAGCCTAAGGCCCGCCATCCCCTTCATTATCTTCGGCTCTGCTGTCAGGCGGGCGGGCGGGCAAGGACCGGGAAAAGGCACGGAGTAGCGTCGCGTCGAGCCCGACCAGTGCGGCTCGTTCGGGAGGGACGGCCAGTGCTGGCACGACCCCCGTCCCCGCCCGCATGCCCACCCCGCGCCGGGAAGGGTGTTCCGGGGGCGGGCGAAGGGCGGGAAGGGGGACGGGTTATCGAGAGGGAAAATCGGCGGCTGTCGGCGCAGAACGAACTCGCATTCCGTGCCGGCGCCTGGGACCCCTCGTCCGCCTCTCGCCATGGGGCTGCAGCCCCGGCGCGCCGCGGGACCCTGCCCGCCCGCGGGGCGAAGCACCGCCCTGCCCGGAGGGCGCTCCGCGCCTCCCTGGGCCCGCAGCGACGATCCGGAGGGAACTCCCGGGCGCCCCGCCACCCTGCCGCCCCTCCTGCCGGCCATCCTGCCGGCCCCCACCTCTTCCCCCGCTGCCTCCCGGGCACAGCCCAAGAAGCCGGCGGCGGCCGCCTCGGCTCCCAAGAAGGCAGCGCCTCGGCCCGCAGAGGAGAAGGCGGCAAGGAAGGTGCGGGGGGCGCCCCCGGAGCGGCCGGGCCCCCTCTCCAGCTCCTGGCCCTGCTCGTCCCTGCAGCGACCGCCGCCGCGGAGACCGCCAGCCGAGAGGGCGGCGCGGCCCCAGCCCACCCCGCCGCAGCCGCGGGGCCGCCCGGGGGCGCCGGGGGCGGGCAGCCGCTCCTGCGAGAGCCTCGGCGGGGCGCCGGGGGAGGCGGCGGGGCGCTTCTCGCTGAGCCTGCCCCCGGAGGCCATCCGGGTGTTGCAGCGTCGAAGCCTGGAGCGCCAGCGGGGGCAGCCCGCGCCCTCCCCCGCAGGCAGAGCCGCCCCGGCCCGGCGCGGCGACCTGCGCGCTCTGCTGAAGGTTTCGCTGCTCAACGACCGGCACCGYTACGACGACGAGGAGTACGAGGAGGAGGAGGCGGGGGCCGCGGCGGACGAGGGGCTGGTGCGGAAATGCACCGAGTGGCTGCGCGGCGTGGAGAGCGCGGCCGGGCGCGACCACCCCGAGCGGCTGGAGACACTGCCGCATTTGGGCACCCTCTGAGCCCCGCCGGCATCGGGCAGCGGCACGGCGGGGCCGCCGGAGCGGTCGGAACGGGGCGCGGTGGGGCCGCCATCCGCGATGTCGTGTTCCTTGTGGTCTTGTCGGCGCCAGAGCAGCTCGGGCGAGTGGCGGCGGGGGCCGGGCAGCGGAGCCCTGCCCGGAGCCGATCCTCGGGCCGCCGCCGCCGTCACCGGGGCGAAGGACAAAGGAGAGGCGCCGGCCTCCGGTGCTGGGAGGGAGGGCACCGGCTGTCGGCGCCCTGCCTCCACCCTCGCGGTTTTTTTAAAGATTTCTGAGTACTTTATAAAATGTGCGTAATGGTTTTGTATATTTGTACATAAAAGTTCATTTTTATTTATTTGAATAAAGGACTCTTGTGTTGCGGTAGCCTTTGCGCCTTGGTAGCTTCTCGTTGGGCTATCCCAGCCTGGCGGTGTCCGCTGTCTCGGTGTCCACAGGGTMAGGATGGCGGGATGGTCACCGTGCGGAGCCTGTGCCGTTCACACGTTCGCTCCTCGGTGCAGTCGCCTACAGATGGGCTCCAGGGAAACGCGGAGCCGCGGGTTAGCGAGGCGGCGGAGGCAGGGTATCCAGCAGGCGGGGGCGATCCCGAAGCTGCCGGGGGCAGGCGGCAGCAGTGCCGGCCACTGCGCCAGCGGGGGCAGCTCTCCCGGGGACAGACAGGGACAACGGGAGGAACATGGGGCAGTGCGGGCGGCCGCGGCGTGGGCRGAGATGGCTCCGGTCCCCTTCGCCAGGGAACAGGAGAGGAGCGGCTGGGTCTGTGCATGGATTTGGCGATTTCATCCCCTCCCGGGCAGTGATTCAGATACATCCGACCTTTCGAGCTGCTGCCAATATACGAGGAGTAGGAAGGAGGGAGGGAGRGAGGGCAGGGGCAGCTTCCTTTGTCAGCGTCCCCGGCTTCCCATCTCTGGGGTCTGCTGCAGCCTTACCCGCTCCGGGCTATGGCCATTCCTGGTGCTCCTCAGAGCTCTGTGTGATGGGAGAGACGAGGAGGGGRCGGGAGAGGCCAAGTGTACAAAAATTACGAGCGGAAAGGGAAGGGTAAGTGTTTACCAGGCTTACAGTGTCTCGGCCACCTACTGTTGCTCTTATGGTGGTGTTATCCAGCTTTTCAGAACAACAGTCATACCTAAGCATTTACTGTGATTCTGTGTTTTGCAAATGAATGTTTGAACATGTAGGAGCACGTTAAGTTGAATTTACTTAACGGAGTAAAAGAAAGTTTAGTGCCACAAATTGGGTATTATAAATTTCACTAAGACATCAGTTGTTTACACCGAATGTGTCCATTCCATTAAATCGTGTGAGATAAACCTTTCTGTATGTTAGTTGCATGATGTAGCAATATGCTGCATTTTGTTTTGCTCCATGTTTGTTCAAAGACTTTTAAAATATTTTTTTTTTTTTACCTGAAACTTGAGGAATGACAGGGGAGATGGTTTGAGAAATATTTATTTATTAAATGCATAGATACTGCCATTGAAAAAAAAAAAAGAACCAATGTAAGGCAATTGTGAAATAGCTATACTCAAAAGCCAGAGACAAAAGCATGAAAATGTATGGAGATTAATGCATTCCATTTAAGTAAATGTAGGGTCATTTGTAGTGATAGCTATGTAACACATGCATTTTCATATCATTTTAGCTGAGTTTGCATGTAGTTCTGTTGTATTACCAGTTTTCATTAATATATTCAAGCAAATCTGCCTTAACAATTGCAAATTTCCTGCCAAATTTAATATATTTTGGATTATGCTGGATGGTCAGACCCACTTGTTGTTTTTCCCTCTTCTAACAATGATGGAAATGGTAGTGATTGAACTGTTAGCAGAGTTTTCCTTTTTTTGTCTCACATTTGGGAATGTGGATTTATAAATGAGCATCCTGGACTCCTAATGTTGTTCCTTAAACTGCTCCATGGTTTCATATTAACTGCAACCTGTGTCTCCAATTGCAATGAGAAGTGATTCACTCATTAAGGTCTGAAGTATGCTAAAGATGACTTTTGAGGCTGAAAACTGCTTTGTTCAGAATCTGAAGTGTGGCAAAAAAAATCGATAAATTTGAAGGCACAGCTGYGGCAATTGCAGTGCAAGTTTGGGGTAAGAGGGGTTAGAATTGAAGGAGACTGCCAACTCTGGAAAAGAAGGAACCTGCTTCTAGAATGAACAATTAGAGAACTAGGGAATTGCCTGGATAGATTTTGTTTATTAATTAATTTATTTATTTATTTCCCCTAAAGAATCTGTTTGAACAAAGCTGATCATGCAGCTAAGATCTTTTATGTTAGGTAAATCACTGTACATAGTAACTGGAAGTGGGCCTGAGATGAGCTCATCCTAAAATGAGGTTATGCAGTCCTGATTTTGGGCTGGATGCTAAGAGCCACTGGAGTCTCTGGAGTCATATAACGAATGTCTGCTTGGAATACTGTCCCCTTCACTAAACGGTAACACCAAGATTTATGGGTTTTGGTATTGTTGCCTTTCTGCACTCTTTGAATGAGAAATTATGCCCTTAGTATTCTGAATACTTTCAGCTGAAATGCCCAGAAATCTCAGAAATGGTACTAGAGCAGAAGAAGTTACTTCCTACAAACCAACAGCAACTTCTGTTCCTTTTGAATATTGCTTACTTCTCAATATTTATTCAGTTTAAAAGAAAAGTCTTGGATTCTAATATCTAAAAGCTGTAGCTAAACATAGTGATACTACTTGTTTAATTCATTTATATGTGTTCAAATAGACACTTGAACCCAGTAGCAGGCTTCAAAATACAAAAATACCTGTGGAAATTCAGAAAGTGGTGAAAACCCTCAAGTGAGTAATTGCATTTGTCTTAGTGCAGAATAGTTACTGCTAACTAAGATCCATTATTTAATTATATGTCAGTAGGTGTCATATAATGAACTAATCACTGTTCCTTTCCTTGATGAGCGAGCAAAAGCCTTGTCAAGTGTTGAGAACCAAAATCTTCCTAACCCGCTGATCCCGTCAGCCTGAGCCTTCCTCCATCTCACACACATGTGTTCAGGACATGTTATGGTTGGCATGACTGCAAAATTCATGTGGGATGCTGTGAAACAGCATCTTTTCTGTCCCTGTGCTGCACCTGTGCTTAGTCAAGGTGAGAGAGCTTGTCCTGGACAGATAAGGCCACTGCCAGCTCCCCCCAGTCCCCAGCCTGTGGAGCTGCACCCCAGGTGCAGTATTGACCATCAGTGTCAATACTGATGTAAGAACCCTTCTCATTCTGTGCTGCTGAACAGATCAGGTGTTCTTCAGGAGYACTTTTCAGGTGGCACTGATCTGATTTTGCCAGAAGAACCAACAAACAGCCTGGAAGTCACTACATTTGCTTTTTRCAGTATGTTAGCCATCTTCAAAATGCCTCAGCCTAAGCCTCCCACTCATAACCCTTTTGCTGTTGAGAGCTAGGAGCAGCTGGTGCTGTGAATGCTTAAAATAATCAATAATTCCTTTGGGGTAGACAGCTTCTTCCTCCAAACATGTCAGCATGATTTACAGTGGAAAAAAAAAACAACAACCCAGGCAACATATTCTGGGTATTTTTATTAAGGTAGCTAATAAATAGTGTGGTCTTCTTGCTGCTTCCGAGCAAGGCTGAGAGGCCAGAAACAGGTGAAGTCCATGTTTTTCTAACTTAACAGCCCCAGCCCTGTCCATGGCTGTTTGCTCGTGGGTTCTAGCCCAAATCTCAACTTTCCCACTCCACTGACACAGTACCATTTTTTTTTTAAATTTATTTTATTTTGTTTCAAAGCTGAGGGAGGACCATGTTGTTGCTTGGCTTTTATCTTTTGTGATATTCCTCACCAGAATGCGTGTAAAGTCCTGACAAACAGCATTCCTTGAGCAGTTATCAGCCATATCCACCATCTCACTCCCTTCCCAGCTGTGCCTAAGGGATCTGGCACACAGCTGGATGAGWGCATCTGTTTGGGGGCTGCTTTCCTGAAAGGACTAATGGGGTATCATCTGTCTTGACCACAACTGTCCTTTTGGTTGCTGGGCTGTTTTTTGGTTTTGTGGGTAGTATTTGTGAGGTAAAGGCACATTCTGTTTTTTCTCTTATGAAAAGCCTCTTCCCAGTGGTGGTTTTGTGATGAGAGGAAGAGATTTTTCTGAAGGTTTGGCTTTGGTCCTTCCTGGAAGAGAAGTCGCCGTTTTGCAATGACGAGGTGTGGCGATGTGCGAGGGGAGCCCAAAGCAGAGCCCAGTAACCCCCTTAACCAAAGTTACTGCAGTTCACTTCCCGGCCTCCCAGTGAGACGCAAATGTTTCCTCTCCCTCCCCAGTGAGGAAAAGCTGCAACAATAGCCCCTGGAAACGGTGTARCTAATTTGTTATTCATAGGTGCTCTTGCTGCTTCTGGGAGCCTGGGGAAAGCGCTGTGACACTCAGTGGACAAATGCCTGCCGCTGGTGGCCTCTCGCCTGCATCTCACCCAGCTGCAGGAGCAAGCCAGCAAATGGATGTGGAATGACTTAGTAGCTACTTCCAGAGAAAGAAGCTGGCTCCCAGTGATAACAGTAAGTTGAGTGTATAGATGAGGCAACAAGGTGTTTTAGTCCCTTTTAGTTTTATTGAAATACTTSTTACAAGTTATGTTTGAAGGACATTATTTTAAAGCAATTTTTCCTCTTCTTTGCAACATACARGGAGGAATTGAGAGTTTTGGAATGGCTTAAAGATTTTCTGGTTTGTTTTAACTTTAAAAACAAAAACCTGAAGTTACCAGAAACATGCAATCTGTGTTTWGCAGTCAGCTTTCTTGAGTTAATGCCTGTCCTGGTTTTGGTTGAGATAGAAGAGTTACTTTCTTCTCCTTACAGTGCTGTATTTTTGATTCAGCATGAGAATAATATTGATAACACAGGGAAAGCTTTTGGTTTTTTTTTGCTGAACTGTGTTTATCCTAAACCAATAACTCTTTTGTGTGTGTCTTGTGCGCTGCCAGTGAGGATGTAAACAAAAGGAAAACTGGGGAGYATAGCTGAGATAGGTGAACCAAACTGGCCAAAGGAATATTTTCATACCATAACACATCATGYRCAGTATATAAACTGGGGGAGTTACTCAGATGGGGAGTCAGTCTGGGTTTGGGAATGTAGTCTGGCATCAGTCAGTGGGTGTGAGCAATTGCACTGTGCATCACTTGTTTGTTTTGGTTTGTTTTTCTTTTTATTATCATTAGTACTATATTTTGCTTCGTTTTAGTTCTCCTATCCTACAAAGTTCTACCTTTGTCGAGAGTGTCGCTGCCGTGGTGCTCAATTGCCAGCTGCACAACATTAGGTCATTCTTATTGTGAGGGCTCACATTCTGGGCGGAAGTGTT